GTTGGCCCCAGCGCTGGTCTGTTAACCGGTGCCGTGTTGGGCCCAGCGCTGGTCTGTTGACCGGAGCTGTGTTGGGCCCAGTGGTGGTCTGTTGACCGTAGCTGTGTTGGGCCCAGAGCTTACGAGCGTAACACCGATAGCAGCAGACACACGCTTCCACCCGCCCCCTTCACATGAAGGAAACGGTCATGAACTGCATAAACTGCATCGCGTTCCTGAACTGAAGCTGCGGGTGATTTCCACAAACGCATCAATACCAGCCTTGTAACTCGCACTCAGCTATACTTTACACGTACATACGTACAGTTGTACAATATCAGCTATGCCCGCACGCCAATGCTGTCTCAACCGCTTGGTGTATCCCTTTTTCGACAACCTGGTGCACTACCCGTTTGTTACCTCATGCTCATTTAGTTCCCCGAGATGAAAGACGCCAAAACGCCAATAACTCTGACTGACAGCGAAGACGGAGTCGGCGAGGAGAGCAGAACGAGGCGGTCTTCGCCGACGTGCGTTGACGGTACTGTTACTCCAACGGCGCACCTTTTCTACCAAGCTATGGTGCTCGCGTGTATAGCGTGCATTTCGGGGAGCTGCAGATAAAATTGCATCTTGCGATTCCGAAACCACGAAACCAAAAGCCCATCAGTCAAAATCCAGGGGTCCAAGGCGAAGTCAGTTTTATAAGCACCGTTATATTGAACTAATAGGGCTGTTTTTTGCAGCTTCTGAAACTGTGTGAAATCAGAAAAATACCGTCACGGTTTTGCGGAATGATGAAAGCGGGTTTCTAGTCGTACGGGCGCATGCTCTTTTGGTTTAACGCTCCCGTCTTTTGTGCTGATATGTACAAAACATTCTATTCCTCAGTTATTGGGCTGTCGTCAGGTGTTGATTCGTTTCGATAGTTGCTGGCTTGATTATGGCTTTCATCCATATAGGCTTTGCGGGCTCGAAAAGTTGTATGGAATATTGAGGTGGAAAAACTGTTGTATGAAGGAAAACAAGACTGCGGTAAAATGGTTTTCGTGACAAAGTTGAGGCAGCGGCGCATAAAGCCCATGTCGGAAGCTTAATAGAAAAATGTAACCCATGCCGAAGCTAAAGCTACCATTTTAAATCATGTGATGCTGGAACACGACAATTCGCGATAGTACGAAACCAAAGCAGTAAACAGCTGTGGACAACGTGCAAATTCCAAGGGCAGGTTACAGTTCGAAGCAGTTGGAAAACAGTTGCGGTATGGCGAGCCAGAGGCCGAATTCGCAGTCAGCTCCGTCTGAATATTTATGCGCATATGCAATGCAAACCGTATTACCGTCAGCCACATTCCATCGTGATAATTATTCTGCTAATAATGCCAACCTTGTCACAACGTCACGATGTGATCGAACTGAAAGGAAGCTGAATAAGTAGGGAAACCGCTAAACATCATCAGAGAACATGTAGCAAAGCTGTCTTTTTCCCCACGCGCTGGCAATCACAAAATGGCCATAGAAGTGGTGACATTGCAGTTTCAAAATAGACGCCACCCATAAACGCTCTGAGAAATGGAGGTGGTCGCAGTCAGACAGAAGAGTGTAATGTGCCCACTTTCTCATATGCTCCACTACACAGCACATACTCACTTAACATGCACTCGGGTGGGGGGTCAAGTTGACCCCTCCGAATATTTTTCCAGAATGATTTTCGAACGGAGCGGCGTAGCCGCGCCCAAATTTCGCATAGCTGTACAAAATTGAATAGCGGATCGTTTGGCATCCAAAATTTAGATGTACCTTGTAGGTTGCTGACCTATAGCAAGTCAAAGCCGGGCCATGGTTTCAGCGAAGGCAATTTCTAGGAAATCCTTCAATCTGATCCAAACAACGGAGCGTTGGACGAAGCCATACATATCTGAGTTGCTTGCTTAGGCAACACAACAGTTAAATGAGCAAATTAAATTGATCTAAGGGTCGGGTATGAAGGTCACACCAAGGTCAAAACCAACCTGTTGTATTACTCCAGGGCTTACTAAATGGGATAGTTTCTGGTGCTCATTTCGAGTTTATTGATAGCAGGAACCGCATTATGCATCTTCCATGGACTTCTTAGGGGTCAGAATAGATCATCGACCTAAAAATGACCTAGGTCAACATTTTGTGTTAGGAGCATACTGACTAGCGTAATCTTTACTGCTTAGTCCAAATGCAAAACTCAAAGCAATCTTGTATTGGATTTTGGTCGCCTTGACATTCAAAAGGTTAAGCATGGTCACTGACCTTAATGGAGAATGTGGCCTTTTGCTTAGAAACGGTTATCTACATTCTAGGGCCGCTTGGAGACCAACCTGGAATTTGACCTTGTTTGACTTTTCTTTAACCCAAAGGTCATGGTCTAGGAACCTGGAACTTTGATCTAAGTGAGTTCACGTACAGGTCAACGTGGCCTGTAAATTCGGTGTCTCTAGCTTTCTTAGTTCCCGCGATCTCAGCGGGGGCCACATTGCCCCCCCCCCCCCCCCCCCCGCCCCCGAGCGAAGGGTATATAGCCGGCCACTCGTGCGCGGTGTTAGAGTACATCGGTGGATACCACCAAAGACGCAAAGCTCTGAAGACTTGCAAATGCTCGCGGATTTTGCTGGCCACCCAGCCTCTCCGTTCACCATTGGACACCTCTGATTGTTCAGGGACACTTCTGGTCCCGTCTGGCTGTTGAGGGCCCACCGGCCTCTCGGTAGGTCGACAGGTCGCCTTGGGTCCATTCAGCGATCCAAGTTGTCTAGGTCTTGAAGCCGGTGGCGAGCACGGGGCGCTCCCGGATTTGATGCCAGATTCCCGGTGTAACGCGTAGCTCCATGTTTGTTGATCCTTATGGTCTGGCAGGTTGTTGGTGACTCGCAGCTCATGCTGAAATTGATGAATACGCACCTACGTCATAGCGGATATATGGCCGCTGTTAGAATTGGTTTTGATACTTTGTTGATGGAGAAATGCATGCTTGCGTACTGCACACCTAATTGCCAAGAACCTGTATGATGACCATTAGACGGCTGGTTACCTATGGTGCATATACCGCAAATCATGGCAGGCACGTAGCCGTTGTCAGATTTGGGTTCGATGCATTACTGATGGAGTGATGTGTAACCAAGTGGATGACCTCTAATTGCCTTTTTACATTTACATTTTTACATTTGTTGTACTGAATGCGCATCCACATGTTAGACACCTAATCGTTCAGAAAAAACGAATCACATGGAAAGATATAAATATGCGCCTAAGTAAAAAGCACGCCAAAAAATATTCACACAGCCTTGGTACTTTAAGGTTACCTTTGGACGTAAGGCTGCTAAAGGGACATATACCTTGACAAAAAAACCAGCACATGGGAGTATTTTCATGCTTGGATTCGTTTCGCTACTGACAGGGAAACACGTGTCCCCTTTTTGCCCTTTTTCCCGGTGTGCCTGGAGCCTCCATGGTGACCTTTATAGACCACGCTCTCAACTATGCATATTTTTGTTGTTGTTTATTGGAGTTTACGGGCGCGTCGACTGCCGTGGTCACTTAGCGCCCATAATGAGACGATCAATTACGCACGTAGGTGAGGTCGTTGGCAGCTAGCATTTCCTGTAGGCTTTAATTTAACGCGTTGTTGACGAAGAAATGCGTGACCATGTTTTAACCTCAATTCGATGCAGGCTGTATGGTGGCCTTTCGTGGAAAATTACCAAATGTTACCAAATCTCCCTGCCGTCATTGCAAGCATGTGATGCTATCATTGCGCACTTGATGCAAAATTGGCGGAATAATGAATAAGCTTATTGTTTGCCGCTAGTTAACTAAAGGCCACCCGGTAGCCTCTACCTATCAGGCTACCAAAGTTTATACCGGACACCAGTATGTAGCCGTTTTCAGATTTGGATTCGATGCGCAATTATTATTATTATTATTATTATCATT